GGTAATGTTCAGTGCTCATGGTATTTTAAACAGAATGGCCAGAGAGCAGGGTGACTTGAGAGAGCTGAGTCCCTGGAGCTCCACAGTTGAACAACTGAACACCTTTTTGTGCTTCAATCACCGCCATTTCCTGGTCATTGATAAGCTTGGGAACTGCCCAAACTAGTTTAGACTATTTTAATAAAAAAATGAAACAACACATCCCTAAAAACAGAACTTGGTTTGGGGTCCTTGCCTCTGAAGCCCTTCAACTTGAAACCCCTGTTTGTTTACGTTACTGACCTGACAACGTAGTTGGTTCTCGGATTGCATCAACCTTTCCCCTGCTTTCTTTGCAAAATATCCCTTTGGCATCTCTCACGCTGTAACAAGTGTTCCTATTTTCTCGTCTGTTGAGGGGAAAACGCCTTCAGTAACATACCCACCTTAATATTCGATTTTCCCCCGTGTCTTCAAAGTGAGGACAGATCTTAATTTATATGGCAAGCTGAACTGCGTGCTCCCTTCCTAAAGTTTTTAACTTTACCCTTCAGTTGACTCTTGCCTACTCGGTGACCTCGCACCCTAATTTTTCCGTTTACTTCCTGTACTGCATTTGAAGTGCCTATAAATCACATCTTGGGTCGACCCTTGCCTTAACATGAATAATATTTGTATTCTCGCTGTGAAACACAATTTTACAACAACGCCAATTTATTTTTTCGGCAGTCTAGACTTTCATACTGTTTCCTTTTCTGTTTCAAAGCCCTATTAAATTTCAAGTCTCAGCTCTTGCCGTGATTACTGCTTTAATGCACCAACTTTTCGCCTCTCGAGGGATATCTGGAAAATGTCACATGTGAGGTTCTAGGTGGGCTGATCCAGTTGGATGAAGGTTCAGAGAGGAATTGGGCTCAGTGGGGCCGTGATGTGGGGGCAGAACTGGAAGAAGGGATTGGTGAGACTGGCCATGGTGAGGTTCTCACCTGGTCCGCGGTTGGGTTGGCCACTAACAGGCTTTAATTAAAGGAGGGTCCCCTCCACACAGGACCCTCCTTTAATTAAAATAACATACTTTAGTGATCTTGTAATCATTGGTTTGTTTCCAGAAGCTATCAGGTTGCATGTGGAAAAGTCAGTAGAGCAGAAACAAGATCCACTGGCCTCATCTCCCAAGTCATGGAGGAGGGAAATCCAGCCTGGGGC